ATGCCGAATTTACGGATAAAATTTATTTAAGTATGAAGTTAGCGGATACATTATACGAAATATTTTATTAAATTGACATTCTAAAGTCAGACTAAAATGCATTTTTTCGTTTAAAGCACCCTTAGCTCATAGTTATTAAGTGTACAACGACTAAGAAGAGTCACCTGAAATCTGTCTTCAGCAGATAAAACTTTAGAAATTTTTCAATCATGGAAGACTTTTGAATTTCGGATATACTTTTGTGGATTAATATTTGTCATGCTATACGTCTGACATTAACAAAAAATCGATTAACTAACAATTAGATAAGTATTAGAAATATTTCTCTTTACTTATACTAAATGCTACACATGAACTATATATTGCTTTTATCATTAAAATTAGTTTTGATTGACATCATGTTAGACAACCATTAAAAACCTACAATCACTGGACGGCTGTTACGTCTTAGTATGGTAATCCTCAGCAGAGCGCATCCACAAACTCGCACACGGGATTAGAACCTAAGACTTGTTGAATAGTCCCATGCTAACGCGAAACGGCCGTCCGATGTTCCTAGGTTTTCAGTGGCGGACTAACACTGGTCAATTCATGATCTCCACCATAACGCAGCAATCTCCATGACCCTAAACTCGAAAAAGTGTCAAATTTTCTTTCTGCAATACATATACAATGAAACCAACTTGAATAATAAATGGTCTCTGCATATTTTTCGACAATATTTTCTCTCCTCTACGTTATTTTGTTCGTTTTCCATTTTTTTTTGCTAGTTCACAGTAATTTTGTATCTATCCCGTTTATGATATATGTGATACTATAAAAAAAACAGACAATTTCTGATTAAATGACATGAAATATATTGATTTAGAAATAAAAATAAAATTACAAGATTTTGTTCATTTTTGTTTCATAAAATAAAGGAACTGATCAATTTATTGTGAACGATTGTACTCAACAACAAAAATAAATAAAAAACACCATTTCCTTTCATCAATATATCTTATGTTTCGTATTAAAAAGTAACGAAGATGACTATAAAAGATTACGATTCAGCATAATCACATCAATATGACTACATTATGAAACCTAAGAGAATGTTTTGCATTGATGTTTCTAGTAGAATAATCAAAGATCACATAGAAACATAGATCAACACCAAATGTATAGAAAAATTTCATAAAATAAATCAATGAAATAATTTCTTCATCTTTAATTTAGTTAATATGCACAATGATTATTTTTATTATTCTTCTCAATTCCATTTTCCTGGCAAATAATACGTGATACTTCTCTATTATGGAAGCAAACTGTACATTACAACTGACTATATCTGTATCATGCAATTTATCAAATAGAACTATACAGACAATTAATTTATTCTTAATTGTCTTATAGTAATCTGATTTATCAGAATAAATAAAAAGCAACTAGAAATATGTTTTCTTTAAATAAAAATAATGAATGTAAATGTTGAACTAACAAATCCACAACTTGGTTTCAAAGTCATTGTCCAGTAACAGTTATTAATTATAACCTGAATAATAAGTATGTTTTAAATGTAATTGACGTTACTATGCAACCATGTGATTATTGTTAGTTGATATAATTTCAAAATTTTTTAGTCATATTTATAAACCTTGAAAAAAATTGATTCATAAGTTTTGCTATAAACATTTTAGATTTACGTAAGAAAACTGTCACAACAGAACTGAAAAAACGTAAAAATTATTATAAGAAATAAAGATTATATTAGCATTATCCTAAATATTTTAGTTTAATAGTTGAAGTCATGAGTCAGCTGAAGCTAGACCACCATGGAAAACTTGAAAGCACTGGATGGCTGTTGCGTCCTTGTATGGAACTCCTCAATAGTACGCATCCACGATCTCTAGACCATTGAGCCGGCATCCATCTTCAAATAATGCATGAAATTGCGCCACCATCCACCATTGTAATCAGTGAGTTACTATTTCAGTTGAACTACACTGACTCGGTTTTCCATGGTGGTCTAGCTTAAGTTGACTCTTCAATTGAACTATTAAAAATTACTATAATATCCACAAAGCCCCTCTCTGACTATAAATATTTTAGGTTGGAAATTTGGTAAAATACACTTTTTAATAAATATCTATGAGATTATTGTAAAACAAACATTGAACTTCATAAAAAAAATGAATTTTTAAAATGTGGTCGGTGGACTATTTGAATCAATATCAATGGTTTCAATTCATAAAATAACATCTTTCATTTTTTAATTCTAAAACTGAGAACGAATCGAATAAAATGAAGTGTAACATTCCAGAAAGTATCTAGTGTGAACATAAGCACTATATAGAACAAAACAGGTGACTGTACATATTTCAAAGAAATATCTAGCGCACTGAGATATATATTCTTAGGTTTGTCTTGAATATAATATATGGAACTGCTCAAATAACTTCATATTTTAATACTACTAATACCGATCGCACTGTAGTTATAATGAAATAATTTGATGCTTTGTATAGACCATAGTTAAACGAACACTTACATATATTAGTTTATCAACCTACAGGCTTTCTGAATAGCTGTCCATTATTTCGTATGATTAGATCGTAATTTGAATATAAATGGAATGATTTTTAATGGATACTGTTTCTGGAACTCAACTACCCTTGTGAATTTACAGATTAACTCAAAGGGTAAGAAATTAGTGTTCATTTGTCACCACTGTACCGCTGTTTGTAAGTTTTCACATAAATAGTCTAGTTAATAAAGAAATAATTCACTTCAGCGATATTACCTCACCACATGTCATCGCTTATAAATATTCTGCATCTAATCACAAATAAGAATAAACCAAGACTGAAAATTAATGTTACACAAACGATTTTTGTTGTCCCAACCTTTGAATATGCATTAATTTCTAGTTTCTTTCCCTTGAGATATCAAGTATATGCAGTTGTTTGATAGTGTAATGTGGAGATGAAGTTAATCAGAAAAATCTGATATACTTGCGTTATATATTTCAATCAGTCTGGTCACACGAAATCTAATTAAAACAATTTCGTATGAATACGAATAAAAAATATTGAAGAACATTTGATGAACAGTTGGTATCATAATCCTACGAAAAACTAAGGGAGGAGAAAACCACGTTGCAAAATTGTTAAATACACGACTGAAATAGGTTATAAGATCAGCCTTGAAATAGTTTCTGAGGTTTTGCATCATCACTGAAAAAGGCAGATTTTAAAATTTATAGAAGCCTATCCCATAAAAAAACTCAGGCATCCTACAGGTGTACAGAAACAGTTTGTACAATCCCTGAGTTGGCATGGGAATATTTATTTGTTTCAAAGATCAAGGATGTTGTGAAATTTATTTATTTTTTTACAGTCTTCTTTACAAATGTTACTTTATATATTTACTGAAGTTTTAGTTTAAATTTAGAAATACCTTGATAATTATGTTTGACCTGATTGACTAAGATATATTGCACAAACACACCACAGTTTTCAAATTAGTTTAGATTTCGTTAAACTATCGAACTCTATGAAAGGAACTAAATGCTTTTGATCCTGTCATTTCAATCAGTTTGATAAAAAAAACCCAGAAAAATCACGTTTGATTACGTGCTTGAAATAAACTGAATTTGATTTTCAATTAGATTACCATTTAGAAACATAACTGACTAGTTTTATGTATCTTTGTTTATATTTCTTCGATTTGTTCTTAGGTCAACTTTGAAATAAATTAACAATAGATTATAAACCTTGTTATTGTTTATTTCGCACGTATGTTGAAATAGTTGAAGATTCGCTGAGTGATTACGTGACAAAAGCAACATCGAAGTCTGAGTTCAATGTTACTTAATAGCAATAATTCTTTTAAAATGAGATGAACAGACATTGAATTTAAAATTGCAGTGTTATCGAGTAGTAAATTAAGGATATTTCGACTACACGTTTACTTGTTAGGGCATTTTACATGAAGAACTCACAAAAGTATAAAATCAAAAGTTCGACTACATAAAAAGTGATCATTGTAAACAGCTTCATCAACCCTGACATAATAAATGGACTAAATCTAGTAGTTGACAAGAAAAGTTCAGTGACATAATCAAATTGTTCCTACGCACATAAGACCTACATTTTCTAATATTTGTGGTTTCTACAAATGTAAGAAAAGGTCACCTCAAAGTTGCCACAATATCCTGCAATTGTAGAAGAGCATGCTGAATTACTACTGAACATATCTGAGCTTATGGTTCCAAGTAAGTTATTCTTATATTTCGTCAAGATACTGTTATAACAACTTGACTTATTTTGAGAAAAAGTTTCTCAGTCATTTAATTCCAGTCAATAAATTTATATCACATACTCTATGAAAGCCAACCGATTAATAGGTTATTAAACTAAACTAGTGATTGAGAAAATTATCTATTTCAGTACTCTTTTCAATTTTTTGTTTACTCAGCTTCTATAAATTAAATGTTCCCTTCATGAAATAAAAATGATCTATTATCCATCTATATTGTAAATCTTGTTTTTAATATTTGCGCAAAACTGAAAAAGCATAAACAACTTTTACATCACAACTTCATGTCTATACATGTAATGTATGTTACAAAATATTTTGTTTTTAAGATGGATGTTGAAATGTCTTCTTTAAAATACAGATTTATTTTTATCATTCAGTCATATATTATTTTGATAAGAAGATATCCGAATATTTCATTGGACAATTATTAGACGTCATCTGATTGGTTGTTTGAAAGAAGCTGAATATTTAAAAGAACTATTTAACAACCACATTATATACAAAGTATTGTTTCAAACAAAATACAAGTATAAATGTTTTGAAAACTATTTCTATACGGATAAAATAACTCATAGTATATATTTAACGATTCAACGTGACAAGTAACTATATAATTTTCTTGAAAATTATGCTCTTTAATACATAATGTTGAAAGTATACATTAATTTTCAACTTTTAACTTATGTTAATAGATCAACATGGTTTCTGAAATTTCATGGCAACTATTAAAACAAGCCACTATACTTGGTTTAGCACCAGTATTATGTAATGAAGTTGATCTACTTGATTTAAGTAGACAAACAAACAAAATATCTGATAAAAAAATTATTATCAATGTTAGTGGTGTACATTTTGAATTAACTGAATCACTTGTTCAACGTTATCCATCAACATTGCTTGGTTCTGTTGAACGTGAATATTTTTATGATAATATAAATAATGAGTATTTTTTTGATCGAGATCCAGAATTATTTCGTTATATATTAACATATTATCAACATGGTAAATTACATTTTCCAAAGAATATATGTATATCAGCATTTGAAAATGAATTAAAATATTTTTCTATTTTATCTGACAATTTATCAGATTGTTGTTATGAAAGTTTTATTGATCATTCAAAAGATATAGAACAACGTTTAGAAGATGATAAAAAAACATTTGCACAATATAAATCATTAACTGTAAATAATAATGTAAAATTTCGTGAAAAATTATGGACAATGTTTGAAAATCCTGAAGAAAATAGTGCAGCTTATATGATTTATTATACAACTGGATTTTTTATAATTATTTCTGTCTTATCTAATATGGCAGAGACTATACCATACACTGATGGTAAATTAAAAGATGTTTTTCCTTTACGAACCTATGGTGATAAATATGCAAATATATTTTTCTGTATAGATACTGCTTGTGTATTAATATTCACTATTGAATACATTTCTCGATTATATGCTTCACCATCACGTTGTAAGTATATGAGATCCGTTATGGCTATAATTGATTTAACTGCTGTTTTACCATATTATATAAGTTTAATTGTACCAGCTGGATTACAATTCTCAGGATCATTAGTTACACTACGTGTATTTCGAGTATTTCGTATATTTAAATTTTCACGACATAGTCAAGGATTACGTATATTAGGATATACATTGAAATCATGCGCTGAAGAATTAGGATTTCTTTTGTTTAGTTTAACATTGGTTGTGATAATATTTGCTACTGTTATATATTACATTGAAAAATTTGATGAAAATTCATCATTCTATAGTATCCCTGATGCTTCATGGTATACTATTGTCACTATGACAACATTGGGGTAAGTTTATTCCGTATTAAATTCTATTTTATAAACTTTATGTATTGTTAAAATTGTTTATTATTTGTTTATAAATAAGTTTTTAGGTCTTGACAACAAAAACACGTTATGAAACAATGAAGTTCTTAAAATTTTTTCCTATAATGTATCTTTTTTATATTGAATACAAGTAGTAGGAGAACATACAAAGTAATATATGTTTATATGTTTAAACAATATGAAAAAATATAACCTTAACATTTGACTATTCAACAACAACAAAAAGTAACAAATCATTTGAATGAATTTGAATATAACATTTAAAGATAAAGAATGAATAATAAACGATCCGACTGATAAATTAAAGTACATATTTTTGTTGTTGTTGTTGTTGTTGTTGTGGGGAAGGTTCCTTTTGTTAATTAGATATACAAAAGAATATTATTTTTGTAAATAATGTGGTTGAAGGTTAAACGAAGATAAATTACTTATGAATTTTTGTTATTTTTCTTGGGGGGGGACCTTTTTCATAGGGCAGTAATGTTTTCATCACATTGGAATGTTTTTAAATAAATATAAGATATCCCAGTCATATTAAAAGACTAGTATTTGAAGGAAGAATATTCTTTTCGATCAATTCTCTTCAGGTTCTACAATTATACATCTTAATTAATAATTCGAAAAATGGATGAAATCAGCTTTTCACCTATATAATCTACAGTCTACAATCCTAAATTTACATGCTTTAAACGATGTACTTTGTCCTTAACCTGGCCATTTTTCGGATTATTAATTTGGATATATAATTGTAGAACCTGAAGAGAATTGATCGAAAAGAATATTCTTCGTTCAAATACTAGTCTTTATATATTAGATAGATCAAAAAGGTATTCAAAGACATTTTTCTTCGTTTTCATAAAATGATTCATTATAATTTATGCTTTTAAGTTTTGTTTTTGTTTTTTATTTATGATTAGCAAATGAATTAAGAATGCACGTTTGTATCGCACACAAAGACTCAAAAGTAGTGCTTATTTCTTTAAATAAGTCATAGTCTGAATGTAAACAATGAAATACATGAAAATTCAACTAGTGGTTACAACATTGAACATAACGTGAATAATTCATTTTATTCCTATTTAGAACCTCAACATAGTTATCTGTAGCTATAAATAAGACAGTAGCTCAGGGGCTATATGTACAAATAGAAACAGATCAATATGTGGTGCTGATTATCAGCAAACGTTTATTGGTACAACTAATATAGTAATATTTGCAGTTATAAGGTTGTCTCCCATTTTACAATTTACTTATTTTTATTGATTCTTTATATATATTTCACCATCATTAAAGATATTTGCAGTGGTAATATAATTTCTATTAATTTGACAATGTACAAAAGTAATAATGTAGTATGAACGAGCGAAATTGTGTGAAATAATTTACCAAAATCTGATTACGACTCTATCGAAACAGACGGTTAGAAAATTTTGACGGGCGCCTTACTGCATACGACAGGATCCGGTTACTTATCAGTAACTTATCATCATTTTTATGTGCTCCTCACGAATATCACATTTTTTAGTAAATAAATGTATAACATTGTATATTTGATCTTATCGGACACTTTTTCGATTATGTGTGAACTTGTCCTCAATCAAATGCTGTATGTGATCATGACATATCCAGATTACGGACGTAAATAGAAGCACATTAATAATTTTCGGTCATCCGTTTGTTCAATTTCATTCATTAAAGACTTGATTATCATATGTTTGACTGGTGTAAATGCATCAACACATATGCAGTGAGACTACAATTTATGAACCACATTTGAGCGATGGTAAAGTGACCTTGAGAATATCCACCCACTTTTCAAGGTCAAAAGATTTTGTTTTATGCAAAATTACATAATGTGAAAATCATGTATTAAGCACATCATCTGCACATCTTCCTTGAGTTGTCATTTGCATACTCTATCATTCTTCTGATACTGCTGTTATTCTGTTGTTTTCTGTTTTTTTCAAACTTCTGTTGGTAAGCATTCCACTTCCTGCTGCAAACTACTTACGTCTGTCCGCATAAGTAGTGCATACCACACTATAAATGATTTTCTAGGTCTAAATTTCAATATTACTACTTTTCTTCTCTGACCTTTATTTTAAAAGGTCAGAAATAATCTCTGGCTACCTTGTGTGGTGAATTAATGGTAGAACACTTTCACAACTGTAAATGTTTATTAAACGTGCCATTTAGTGATATGTTTGACATTAACTAATATAAAAGAATTGTTATTAAAAAAGTGTTCTTTAAAACGCCGAATCACTAACACAGTGAGTCTAAATGTAGTGCGGATAAAACACTTATTCGACTTTCAGTGATACAATAATAGTTCTGAAGTTAATAGTTCAAGGTAATAATTCCAAAACCATTAGTTATCATGGCTAAATCGACGAAAGGGTTATGAAGACATACGGTGATGCGCTTAAGCTTAATACTATCATGTTAATCTTGTTAGTGATTAATCGTTCACAGATGACAGATAATAAATAATATCGACGTAGCCAATCAGTTGTTAGTTGAATCCGTGGTCGGCTCTCAGTATCTAAAGTATTGCCTCTTATTGTCTGTTTGACATAATAAACGCAAATAAACTAATTTAAATTTCCAAATGTTAATTTAATTAGGATCTATGTATTATAATTTCAATAAATTTAAAATACTGTCTGACATTTGGTTCCGAATTAGGTTTTGGTTATCTGCTTAATCCTGTTTAGCTCCAGAAAGAGTAGCTTTCCAACTACACTATACACCAATTTATCTAGCTTGAAACACAAATTACTGTATACAATCTAATAATAGATGTAACATGTTAGTAACACACTAACTATTAGATATTTTGTGAAATTTATCAGAGATTAAAGTACAAATCGGGTAGATCATCGTATTCAGTAAAAATATGACTGAGAATAGTGCCTAACATTACTAATAAATAAGTGGACTGTTATTCAGTTAATTCATATTTATGTAGATGAATTACTTATTAAATGGCTTCATTTTGTTGTAACGAATCGCGCAATCAGTACTATGTAAACGTTTTTATATGTTAGACGTAAAAACTTATACAATCATTGTTTTTAAGGAAAGGAAGAAACATGAACGACTAGTTCTATCATTTTTAGAATAATGAGCTTGATATTAATCACAAAACGACAGCTAGATCAAATAAGTTTAAATAATAAACTGCATTCCTTGGCTTAGGAAAAGTCACGATTGTTGGTGATTTCGTGTATTTAGTGCTTGAAAACTTTATGGACCATTTTAAAATGTTTAATCTACTAAACTGATTATTGTGGTTTTAAAATAACTGAAATGATTATCGTAAAAAAGATCAATTTACAAAATGTTGTTGCGATATACATCGTTGTTGTTTGTTATTATTTTGTTATTATGTCTTCCTAATGCACAGTGATTCAAACTGTTATCAAGTATGACTTCAATTGTTTATTTTGGTTAGCGTATTTTTACCAAGGTTGTTTTCTATGGGATGGGGTTCTTGACCTCATATTCAACCCCCCCACCTTTACATGAACTTGAAACCGACAGTAACCCTAAAAGAGCTACAGGCCAAGTTCATTATCAAGTATACTTTTCCTAAATAATACAAATGTCAATATGGAATAATTAAAATAGTGATTTGCTTCTTTAATCAATGTACATTTCATTATATGTATTTGATTTATAAACAGTAGTAATTCATGCACAAAATTACATTAAAACAACATTTATTGTTGTTTGGTTATGAGATATCCATTATGGATTTATTTATTTCCGTTACCATTTAAATGTTGTAAATATATATTTATTTAATTTTACGATCTAATATCTAATCTCTGTTTTTGCTATTCGTGAAATGACCTAGAATTTGTAGGTCATTTATTTACATAAAGGAGATGGAAGAGAAAATATAAATTTGAAACTATTCAACTAGAAATATTAAAACAATATTCTTTATTTTCTTTCTAAAGAGAAACGTTTTGTAATAATTATGTTTTACTAGGTGATATAAGAAATAAAAAGAAAGGGAAACATTTATAACTATTTATGAATAGTTATTCGCCCTAAATCATAATAATAATAGGCATATTATTTTAAGGATATAGGTACTATGGAACCTAACAATTATTTAAAATATTAAACCCAGAAGTTACAACGATCTTACTGTCTAACATTAAGTGTATTATTTCAAGAGAGCATAAAACATTTGACATTTAATACGTTTGTACTAGTGTGTTTATTTCATATGGTTTTAACATAATTTGTTTCAGTTGAAGTCACCATGGAAAACCTGGAAGTATTAGATGGCCAGTTCATCTTAGTATGAGGCTCCTCAACAGTGCGTATCTACTATATCGCCTCGCGAGCGCTTAACCACTAGACCACTGAGCTGGCCGGCATCCAACGGTGTAAATGTCTAACTTCAACTAATCCATGAGATTGGGCGACACATCCATCATTGTCTTCAGTGAGTTAATATCTCACAACAGACCCTGTTGAACTCCACTGGTTATGGCTTCTCACTAGAACTCCAAGTATTACGTCTTGAAGCAAGTCACTAGAATAATGAAGAATAATTTCATTACCATTTAGATTGGAAAGAAAATTAAGGATTTCGGCAATAAAAAATACTATGGGATATACTTTTTCAGTTTATAGACATATCCTTTATACATAAAAACATCTGTAGTGGTTTATCGTTAAATATATTTTTTAAAACTGTCCACTATCATTTATATGCAAACCTACAATAACCAATCTTTATAGCATAAATTGTACTTCATATTTACATACAAATTCTATAAATATAAGTCCAAGTAACCTCATCTTAATTAATATTTACTTATGTATAGTTGTTTCTAGTACTTTATGCATATGAAGACGTTTTGAAAATCTTAGTTAAACTCATATAAATTTGCATCTATGGTGTAGAAAGTGTAAAATGATCAAATGGTATAAATAAG